GAGCGCACATTGCTGGCTCATGTCCAGCTTTTCATCCACCACTACCCCCAAGTCCTTCTCAGCAGGGCTGCTCTCAATCCCTTCATCCCCCAGCCTGTAGTGATACCAGGGGTTGTCCCGACCCAGGTGCAGGACCTTGCACTTGGCCTTGATAAACCTCATGATGTTCACATGGGCCCACTTCTCGAGCTTGTCCAGGTCCCTCTGGATGGCATCCCGTCCCTCTGGCATGTCAACCACACCACTCAGCTTGGTGTCATCTGCAAACTTGATGAGGGTGCACTTGATCCCACTGTCTATGTCACTGATAAAGATATTAAACAGTACTCATCCCATACACCATCATATACCATCATGGTTTTCTTCTCAATTAAAGATCATTCCGTATTGTTCAAGTTTGGCACTACAGAGGAAATTCTCCATCCAAACTGTTCCTACGGCCCTTTTCCTCCATAATTTTCTAGTTTTTTTCAGCATCCTTTAAAAATAGATGGCGGTTCTATTGGTATCTACAACCATTGCCTCTGTGAGTCATGGAGCAACAGTCAGAACAGGTATTTGAGTCTCCTGCACTGTAGCAAAAGTTCAGTTACTCATTCACTGTATCCAGTTGTGGTGGGTTGACCTTGGCCAGCTGCCAGATGCCCACCTTGCCGCTCTCTCACTTCCCCTCCTCAACGAGGGAGAAAATAAAATTAAAAAGCTCATGGGTCAAGAGAAAAACAGGGAGATCACTTAGCACTTACCACCGCAGGCAAAACTGACTCAGCTTAGGGAAAATTAATTACATTTATTGCCAATTAAAAATAGAGTAAGTGAAGGGGTTGTGGGGAATGAGGGTTCTGCTCAGAATGGGGTCAGTCCATAATAGCTCCCCTCTGCCGCTCTTTCTTCCTCACACTGTTCCCCTGCTCCAGTGTGGGCTCCTCTCCATGGGCCACAATTACTGTCAGGAGCCTGCTCCAATGTTGTGGCGGTGTGATGTTGTTCCCCCCGCCCCTGTGTAGGCAATAACCACCAGTGGGGGTTGCGATGGCTGCATCCAGTTTTGGGGACAGATGGGAACACAGTAGCCAAGGGCTGTCTGGACCGGTGACCCAAACATCTTGCTGGTATGCAAATATGACTATAAGTCAATCATCTTACTCTATAAATAGTGGACAGCCCAGGGCCTGTTGAGCTCTCCTGCACAGCGGCGGGCTGCACGGTGGGATCTCCCCTCATAGGGTTACTCCCTGAGGTTGAGTGATTCCTTGCCACAACAGATCCTCAGTAAGTGACTAATAGCATGCTAAACTTTGAAATTTTAGCTAAGTGATATAAAGGATTAATTGCACATATATAATCCTTTAGACATAAACCGTTGACCAAGACTGGGACTAGGATTAGATCCAGCCGCACCTAAACTCCTCTCCTGAGAAGTTTAGAAAGCAAGGGGGTCCTTTCTGAACCTCATGACTCAACGGGAGGGTCTCTCTGACCCTGTCAGTAATGTCTGACCCTGTCCTCTATGCAGTAAATAAACAAGTGTACTTTGCCATCGAATCTTGTTCACTGTCACATTTACTGTTGAACTTTGTTAATTTGCGCTTTAACTCACTGTTTTCTATCAATGAAGTATTGTTGCTTCTCTCTTACGAGTGAAGTGCAGTTTCACTCCATCCGCGACAGTGCTGCGCCGTTTTGGGGAGGAGAGCGTTGCTGCTGCGCCGTTTTGGGGAGGAGAGCGTTGCTGCTGCGCCGTTTTGGGGAGGAGAGCGTTGCTGCTGCGCCGTTTTGGGGAGGAGAGCGTTGCTGCTGCGCCGTTTTGGGGAGGAGAGCGTTGCTGCTGCGCCGTTTTGGGGAGGAGAGCGTTGCTGCTGCGCCGTTTTGGGGGCGGCGGGGCTCGGCCGTGCCCTGCGCTGGGTCCGCTGGAGCCGGCTGGAACCGGCTGTGTCCGGCACGGGGCAGCCCCGGCCGCTCCTCACGGAGGCCGCCCTGCAGCCCCCGTACCCATGTATTACTCTTCAGAGTTGCTGCTTTCTAGATATCTCACCATCCCCTTCCCCTCTTCCAAATGTACGTCCAACATTTCTTGTTTCTAAGAGAATACAGCTTCACACCTGGCAATGTAAAGTGAATTTTCGTATGTGCACATTACCAGAAGATCCAAATTTGTGTGCAACAATCCTGTTCTTAATATATTTTAATTTTATCATCACCTTTATGTTATCCCAAAACAGTTACAGCAGAAGTTTATAATATGAAAATAAATAGGAAGTGAAGAAGACAATTCCAGAAATGCCATTTATGTACCCTTAGAATACTGAAATAGCAAAAAATATTTGCATTACAAATAGCACTTGGAAATTTTTCCCACCCCAGCAAGAAAGTAAACTTTCCTGCTGGACTTTAAAAAAAGAAATAAAAACTCCCAAATGACCCCCCACACACACCCTGTTGAAACCAGAGGAGGGAACCGCTTCTCCAGCACTTCCCAAAGTAACCGTTACTCCTGCATGTCCACACAGAGCCTGTTCCTTGTTTTTGTCCAAGCTTGGTCTAGAATAAAGCCTGAAGTAATTTTCCTTTTAACCTATTAAGCCCTACTTAGATTTATGGAAAGAAAATAATCTTTTGACTTTTACCCAAACCATGTTTTCTAGAACAATCAAACCCCCCATATCCTATATGCCAATAGATAACAAATCATGTTAACTATTGAAATAACAACTTCCTTCACGTGTTCACGATGGGGAGGAGCATTTTGTTTTGAGGCCCTGACAGCAGCTAACACTTGCTAACACTTAGGTAGGAAGCATTTCTAGGACTCCATTGTGTGGGTAAAGCCATTTATAAATTATTGGCACATCAGCCTTCTCTGTCGGGACACAAAACAGCTTTAATACATGCAATTCACCACTGTATTACATTCACTGTTTCATGGACCTGGAAATTTCTCTTCTCTTTAATACAGATGTCATG